TACAAGGGCTTTAAATATTTATCTTCTTTTGTAGGGGAGTGATAATGAAATCTTACTGTGTATAATGTGGAAAGGTGTTGAAAAATCTGATGATGATGCTTGGATCGAGAGAGGACAGGTGTTCTCTGCACTGACCAAACTGGGGATGTCTAATGAGTTGCTGCGACCTTCTGATGAAATAAAACTCAGGTGAGTGTACAGTCCATCCCTTTTAAGGGTAAACAGACAAAGGGACATGAGTGAAGCTGGGAAGGGGTGGGTGTTTCCTAACAAGATGTACTTTTCTTTGCTCTCTCTTCACATACTGTCAGAGGTATATTCCACTACCTCTTTAGCAGTGTCGTGTGGCCATAAGGTTTTAAAACTGTATCGCTGTTTTCATGAGCCTCTCAATCTCTTTTACCTCATTGGCTTATCAAGAAGGTGGCAGTTATGTCACTGCAGACTAAGAGATTCAATTAAATACTTAATTGGATTTTTTAAAAGCCACTTACACTTAGAACATGTAATACTTAATTTGGATTTTGTTTTCTTTGCAGCTTGCTGGAGAAGATGTTAGAATGGTCAGTCACTGATAACAGAGATTCAAAAGCTCTCCCTACACATGCTGAAAATGCCTTCAAGCTCTTGCTAATTGTACAAGATTTCCTGCAGGCAGAAGGACTAATTAATTCAAGTTTATGGACAGAAAAGGTACAGTAACTGAATAATGGGTGTACCATATATAGGCTGAAATAGCAAGGAAAAAGTTGCCAGCTTGGATACTGTCATCCCTTCTAGTCTTATGTTTTTAAATCATAGATATTACAGAGTAAAGATTTATCATGGAATGGAGTAGAGTACCCCATAATGAGTAAAAGAGTGTGAATGCTTACCACAGGGAATATGCTTAACTTTTCAAATTAAATAGGCCTGTAAGTGGTACTATTTACTGAAAATTCAGGTCTCGCAGACTGGAGAAATACTTGGAAAATGTAGAAGCTAATGAAATAATATCAGTTGTAGCCTAAGCACATTTTGCACCATGCTCATCGTGTATCCTGAATAAAAGACCAGCCAAAACTCTGCTCTCAGCTACAGGCTGAGAAATGTCACTTCTGGGGTTTGACCCGTATTGAAGTTTCAACACCCATAATTTGTCTCAGCATTTATGTAGTTTCTGGCACTGGTCTTGCTTCCTCTCCAGTCTGAGTTGTCATTGCTTTTCCATTTTTCTATGCAAAAGGGGAGAGATGCTATGTGGAAAGTGTCATTATATCATGATAAATCCTCACAAAAATGCTTTTTAATGCTACTTTTTTGTGGAAAAAAAAAAGGTATAATGTTAGTCATCAACACAGTAATTCCTAAGCTGTTCTCCAAAATACCTGCTTATGAGTACACATAGCTTAATCTTAAAGCTTCAAATTGCTCATTTTAAAAAAGTCTCTTCTTGGTAAAAGCTTTACCTTCTGTTGTGAATCTCATTAGAAATGAGATCTGAACTTTGGAGTAATGAAAGTTGTGCTTCTTGCCAACTCTGAATTGAAAATTACAGTACTTTCATAAATTATTTTCCACTGTCCCTGGAGAGAATTTAAAGCACCTCATATCCTAAGCAGGATAGCTTTCAGTCAGAATGATTTTACATTTGAGTGATTTATTAGAGAATGTATCAGCGTGCATTAGTTTTAAGCAAACATGCCTGGATAGTGAAACCTGCCATTTGTCTTGTGAATAACTTCCTTTCACAAGGTTTGTATCACTCCTGGTGTCCAAATTCTGACACAAAGGAGTGCCTCCTAGAGTGGAGTCTATAACTTTTCTAAGGAAATGTCATTTACTGGAATTAAATTATAGGAAAACCAGTAAGCATACATACTATATGCTGATTTGGGCTTTATTCAGGGGAGATACTTGAGTTAACATACTGAGCTAGATGGAATTTTGTAGTCAGCAATTTCTTGAAATTACTGGTTTAACTGCAGTGTTCTATGATAATTTTCTGGGTTTAGTTAAGTTAGAAGTGGGAACACAGGCTTTTCTTCAGGTCTTTGAAATTACTGTATCTCCAACTGGAGTTATTGTTTATTTTTTTACAATGTATTTTATTTATTTTAATTTTATACAAATCTTCTGTTTTTGCAATAGCTCTTGGAAGAACTAGTAACTCTCATGGATAGCCTGTCAGTCTGGTACTCTGCTGGCCTAGAAGCAATTAGGCTTTCACAGGTCCAAGTCCAGTTGCTCCTTGGATTCATTGCACAAGATAACTTACAGGTTTGTTCCAAATTCCTGCAAGTAGTACTGAGTTTTAAGGGTGTGTTTGATGTAACTGTTGTGGGGAGAGCTGCTCATACCAGTGGGGAGATTGGCAGCAGTCCTTTATCCTTCTATAGGGAAGATATTTTACTATTTCTTACCATTTGAAAGCTTACAGTCCTGTCATTGTGCACCTCTGAAGCATGACAAAGAAGTAGAAGTTTGGAACTATGTAGGCACTAGTGGCAGTAAAAAATATAGGTATTGAAAATTGCTATTTTGAGGATTGCATTCACTTTTTGCTGTTGGTTTTTGTAGGTCTGTGCTATGGCAGCAGCCAAACTAAACACCCTCCTGCAGACTAAAGTAATAGAGAGCCAGCCTGAAGCATGCTACCTCTTGGGGAAGCTGGAAGGCATTTTGAGTAGATCAATTGAAGAGAAGACAGAAACTTACTCATTTTTGATTCCCCTTGTTCGGACATTGGTATCCAAGATTTATGAACTTCTTTTCATGAACCTGCATCTCCCTTCATTGCCTCCTACCAATGGCAGCCCTTCTTTCTTTGAGGACTTTCAAGAATACTGCAGCTCTGATGAGTGGCAAGTTTATATTGACAAATATGTAAGTACTAGATTCTTTTTTTATCATTTTCCCCCTCTTTTTAGTGATGAAAGCAGAGGAACCAATTCAGAAATCGTGGTGTGCTTTTTGTTTTGCTTTGGTGGAACCAGATTATTCCAAATATGAAGCAGTATGAAGAGAACTCATTCAGACATGATAATGAGCAGATGGCACTTTATTGGAAAGTTTGTTATGAAGGATTTATGGTGAACATGCACAAGCGAGACCGGGAAAGAGGAGAAAGTAAGCTTAAATTTCAGGTAAGGTTTTGAGTGAGTGCAAGGTTCTCTTAGAAGTTAGTTCTCTTAGAAGAACTGTCTCAAGAGTTGACTTCTAAAAGATGGATAAAATGAATTCCAGGATGATCCAATTCAAGTGACTGTGAACAGGTTAATTGTTTTAAGATTTTGTGGGAAGTGTGACTATATACACTTCTAGGATATGCTTTTTAATTCTGCTCTCTATTTAAGAGTCTTATCTGTTAAGCAAGGTTATTTCAGTGCAGTAGCCCTTTCTCATAGTACTGCAACCTAGAATTATGCTCTGCTATACACTGCATCTTCTTTTACTTTGATTTGTGTTTTGAATTTCTAAAACCTGTTCTCCATTATGAGCTGTCAGTTTTTTGATTTTTTTTTTCCTCTTAGCCCTATTTCAATGCAATTAAAACATTTAAAACAGTGAACAGTTCCTATTTAATGTCTGGAAAAATTGCTTCTAATCTGACCTTTTCATATAAGGTTCAGACTCAGTTTCAGCATTAGAATTAACTGGTAATTACAGGAAATATTATAGTAAAGTTAGGTTTCTCTTGTTTTCCCTTTTTTTTTCTTAATAAAGGAGCTTGTAATAGGTCTGTTTTATTCAACTAGATAAAGGAAAAATACAATGTGAGTCACATCCTAGAATATTAGAATTTAAAGAAAAATCCTGTCTATTATAGTAGGATTTCCGGTACTGACCACTTTTCTGACAATGAAAATTACTTTCATATGGATTCAGCATTGATAATGCTTTCTTCACATCTTTAAATCAAAGTCTAGCACTATTTCTTCTAGTACTAAGCTTTTTAAAATTTCTCTCCTAAGCATTAATTTAAAATTTCAGAATTTTTTACTGCTAAACTTTTTTTGTTTCTTCTTATTTTATGAGATTTCTTCGAAGACACGAACCTGTGTTTTCAAAGGTCAGAGTTACTTCAGTGCTAGATTTACTTTTAATGGTCTTTCAGGAGCACTTTGTGGAGCCATTCAGCAGAAAGGCTCGACAGGAAAATCTGCGGTACAACAGTATGCTAAAGCAACTGAGTAGTCACCACACAGCTACTCTGAGGCAGTGGAGAGCAGCCCAGCTTTACTTGTTCTCTGAACGTGGTCCTTGGTCTGAAAGGTAAGAGTGAAGTTCTTAAACTGTATATGATGCTTACAAGGAATTTACTCACGTGACTGTTTCACATAGTTAGAACCAGGTCAAATTGAGTGTGATAACCCCTCTTGAGATGTGAAGTGAATACCAAATGGATCTTTTATAATGTTTTCTGCACTTAATTATCAAAATGCAAAGTCTGAAGTGTTATGCTGAGCTGGTTACCTGGATACTAGATTTTCTTGCCAAATGGCAAATGAAAACTTTTGAGTTTTTTATGCATGAAAGTAATTTCAATTTAAGAGTACATTTTGCATGTCTTAGATTTTGGGCAAGTTCTGGATAAAGATGTTTTGGGGTTTTTTTCTCATTAGCTGAAAGTGTAAACAATTTGGTGTATTTCAGTAGAAAATACTGTTAAACAGGGCTGGTCCTGTTTAACATCTTTATCAATGATTTGGACAAAGGGATTGACTGCTCCCTCGGTGAGGTCGCAGATGACACCAAGTTAAGTGGGAGTGTCGATCTGCTGGAGGACAGGAAGACTCTGTGAAGGGCTCTGGGTAGGCTGGATCAGTGAGCTGAGGACAACCGCATGAGGTTCAACAAGGCGAGGTGCCCGGTCCTGCCCTTGGGTCACAACAACCCCAGGCAGCACCACAGGCCTGGGACAAGAGTGGCTTGAGAGCTGCTCAGCAAAAAGGGACTTGGGGATGCTGGTCGACAGTCGACTGAACATGAGCCAGCAGTGTGCCCAGGTGGCCAAGGCCAGTGGCATCCTGGCCTGTATCAGCAATAGAGTGGCCAGCAGGACTAGGGAAGTGATTGTGCCCCTGTACTCGGCACTGGTGAGGTGACACCTTCAGTGCTGTGTCCAGTTCTGGGCCCTTTACTTCAAAAAGGACATTGAGATGCTGCAATGTGGTCCAAAGAAAAGCAATGATGTTGATGAAGGGTGTAGAAAACATGTCTTATGAGGAGCAGCTGAGTGAGCTGAGCGTGTTTAGCCTGGAGAAGAGGAGGCTCAGGGGGGACCTCAATGTTCTCTAGAACTCCCTGAAAGGAGGTTGTAGTTGAGGTGTGGATCGGCCTCTTCTACTGTGTCTCAAGTGTCAGGACAAGAGAAAATGGCTGCAAGTTGTGTCAGGGAAGGGTCATATTAGATATTAGAAAAAGATTTTTCACTGAAAGAGTGGTTAGACATTGCCCAGGGAAGTGGTGAAGTCACCATGATGACTCACCAATGTCACACTTCACTCTGAAAGTGTTGAAGAGGCATCTGGATGTGGCACTTGGGGATATAGTTTAGGGGTGATTATGGTGGTGACAGGTTGATGGTTGGACTAGATGATCTTGAACACCTCTTCAAACTTTGTTGAATCTGTGAAAATAAATGCTGTTTGCAAAGTAAAGATTGATGATTGGAGCTGCAATACAAAATAAAAGCAATTTATTTTGTATTTGTAAAACTGCATTTTAATTTTATATGTTTTACAGTGTTGAGGTGGATGACCAGTATTCTTCTAAATATGTTCTTTTGTAATCAGTTCATTCATTTAAGTCTTTGCTTTCTTTAAACTGTTTTTATGAATATTCTTGTTTTCCTAGGAAACAACGTCCTATTCACTGGAAACTTTCAAACGTGGAAAACTTTTCACGTATGAGACTAAAACTAGTGCAGAATTACAACTTCAACTCTCATCAGGATGCTAGTGACCTGAGAGATAATTTAGGTAAAGTTGTATTTTCTATTTCCTTTGTCTTTAGCAAAGAAAGATACGCACTTTCCTCTTCATATTTAACAAGAAGTTTATGCTAGATACTTAAGTCTTGATTTTTCTATATTTCATTTTTAGTAATACCTATAATATAATAGTGCTGTTTTGACCTGAAACAGCATGTTCCTACTGATTAGAATTACTTTCTCCTTTTTCATTGAAGTACGTTTTTATTGTGCAATAACAAAAGAAAATAACTCCTTTGTTTTAAAACAAGCTTTCTTGCATAAGATTATTTTTTTCAAGAAAAAGAAGCAATCAGACCAGAGTAAGCAGGCAGCATTTGTTCAAAACCTTTCAGTGTTTATGATTAAAATGTGTGGATTTGAAGCTGTTTCAGAAATATGCCAAAGTGGTGTAACTCTGAAGTTGGGTGCATTGGATATCAAGGCTCAAACAAAACAAAAAAACCCAACACTCTTGTAAGCCCATATAAGCAAAAAATAAATGCAGTGTTATTTCCATTAAATCTGCATGCTTTAGCAGTGTCTGAAAGAACATTCTAATATATTTTCTTGGAAATGTCCCCATCAGAATTCATATTAAATTTTTCTTAGGTATTTGTCTTCCCTTTCTACTGTTACAGGTCAATATGTATTTCAGTGTAATTCAAGGGCTATTTTTAGTGTTCTACATAACCCCAAAAATATTTAAGAAGTCTAGTTGCTTCTTACTTGGTTAAAACCAACATTCAACCATAGAAGACACACTTAGTAGTTTAAATTTCCAAAAGCATTGTAGCAAAAAATGTTCTGAGCTGTAATGTCTATTTATGATAGGCGTGCACCAGACACAGCCCTCTAGTGAGTCTCTGCTTCTGGAGGTGGTGAAGCAGGTCAAAGTGAGTGACTTGGAAGATGATGTTCTTGAACTACCAGATGAAGACACAGCAGCCAGTTCCAATTTGTAAGTAGAGCAGAATAGAGTGGTTGAAATTTGTTTCTGTGGTAGGGATAAGTATCAAGACAGAAGTTTGGGAATTGATTAGTATACAGAGCTTCCCTCTTTCTTTGTCTGGCCTTAACAATCCAATCCAGGGCAGTTTAGATCAGCAGAAAAGTTTCTGTTGGATTTATCATTGTCAACAATGGGACATGAAAAGCCTCAGGGAAAAGAAGGCAGAGCATAGGTTTGTGAGGATCCATCCTGCTCACGGTTGGTCTGAGGCTGAAGCTCCAGAATTGCTGAGGCTTTTCTGTGTACATTGGCTGTAATTCTCAAGAGGCAATCTACCCTATAAGGACATGGACCAGACTTGAACTGGCTCTTGTCCATGGTTGCTGTGGCCATTCACTGTATCATCAGTTGCATAGTGTGAAAGTTTGCTCGGTTGGCAGTAATCTGCTAGAGAGTACCTTGAATTTGAGCACTCCAGGGAGAAGGCCTGCTGTGCTTCCTTCATGTCACTTGTGTAACTGTAAGAAAAAAGGAGTAGGGAGGAAAGGGGGGCTTGAGGGAGGATAGCAAATACTTTTTTTCAGTATCTGGACATGTGATGTTGTGCATGCATCTCTGTGTGTCTGTGCTGTTGAAGTCCAGTAGAGATGCGGCTCTTTCAGTGATACTGATGCATCTTCTTGTACTTTAAAGTTTATAAAATGCTTGCTATAGACTGTAGCAAAATAACTCGGGAAATAGCTTTAGACACATGAACTAGAACTCAGCTGTGCTCTGGGCCAGAGAATTTAAGCACCTAGCAACTAAAAAGGGAAATGCAGCCTGACATTTTCATACTTCAAAGACATTTAAGTCCATTGTACCTGAGGCTAAATATTAAGCCTGAAGAGCAATGCCATGAAATGTTTGTGGTCTGGTCTGAAACACCCAAGGCTGCTGATGGAAGTAGCTTTATCTGATCATTTATGTAGTACTTCTAATGCCATTCAAATTTGGTTCTTTTCTGAACTGTACTCTTACCAAATACCTAAACAACTGTATACTCTGTACAACCCTGTAATACTTCCTGGTATTTTTGCAGGGATGACAAGGACGAGGAAAGTCAGAAAGAAAAGCTAATATTGTCAGAAGACTGTGAACTCATTACAGTAATTGATGTGATACCTGGCAGGCTGGAGATCACTACACAGCACATCTATTTCTTTGATGGTAGCATTGAAAAAGAGGAAGGTGAGCATGATCAATATCTCCTTTTCAGTGCAGTTCAGCATTCTGCTTTTGGTAGGCTGAGTCTGATCTTTAGAGAATGAGTGTCGAACTAATTGTAGAGACAAGATTTTCTGTACTTTAATATTACACTTGATGGTCAGGAGCTGGCTAATCCCTTCAGAATCAAGAATCTGGAACAGTACTTGTTGAACTCTTAAAGTGATTCACTATTCCTAGTATTTCTTTAAAAAAATTTGCTTCTGTAAATTTTTTAATTTATTTTTATTTTTTTTCTTTAAAAATTGCTGACTAAGAAATAGTCATTACCTCTCATTTTCTCCATAAAGGACACCTCTCTCCTTGACAAATAATGTTTCACTCATGCATTGATTAAAAAGTAGCAGTACATAAGCATTAATTATCTATATTAATCTAGTGAACTTTAATAGAATATACACATAGAATATAGAACATAATATATATGTGTATATATATTAGACACAGTTGAGTGTGAAAACAGTGAAGTGAAATGTTTGACCAATAATAGTAAAATTTTCCTAAACAGTATATCAAAATGTCAGCCTTTGGGGAAATTTGAATATAAAAGCTTCTGTATGAGCCTGTTTAAGAAAGCAAAGGCGTTTGGTTCATACCTTTTGTCAACAAAATGTATTTGTCAACAGAATACATTTATAATATGTTTTTAATCAGAAAGCAGAAACAAATTCTACACTCCATCAGATATTTCTTGCTTCCTTTCTCTCAACACAACAGCTGAAGTTAGTCTTTGCCTAGAAAAATGGTTAATCAAACCAGATGTAAAATTAACCTTTTCTAGGAATAACTCTGGGATGATTGGAAGTGGTACTACCCTATGTCTATATGAAAAGGTTTTTATATATATTCCAAGTCAATAATAGAAGTGTTCTTCCTAGGGGTAGGTTTTGATTTCAAATGGCACCTTTCTCAAATTCGAGAGATACATTTGCGTCGGTACAACCTGAGGAGGTCAGCTTTGGAGATCTTCCTTACAGATCAAACCAACTACTTTCTCAACTTCAATAAGGAGGTATGGGTTTCCTGAATGTCCTGGATTTATGTAATTAACACAAGGATCAAGTTTACGTTCACTGATTTTATTTAATTTGAGTCTGGTGTCTTTCATAATACTGTAAGACTAGTAGCAAAAGGTTTGCTGGATATAGCCATTATGGAAAACCAGACTGCAGTCTGTGAAAACCTCAGTCTGGCATCTAGAAACTGATTAGTTGTGAGAAGATGGATGAAACAAGATTGTTCTTTTTCCTTTCTCTCTTGTTATCATATGGAACAATTATTGGACTAAAATTACATCAGTGGTAATCTAAATGTCTTGAAGCCCACCTTTTATTAATATTGAGCAAACTAATTACAAAACAAAGGAGACCTTCTGTTTTAGCACAATATTTTAAATTATTGCTGTTTCTATATTCCATGGTTTAGGATTAGTGAAGGGTTTTTTTCCTCTTTAGGCAATGTCAGTGATTCTTTGTGTGGGGGACTAAGACAAATATCAGAACTTAGGGTCAGTTACATACTAGTAGGTCAATTTGAGTAGCTCTTATAAAATGTTGTGTGTTTTGGTTTCGGTGTGAAGCATGTCACATCCATGCATGTCCAAACATTGTAGGTAGCAAGAGGTCAAAATGTTTGAAAGTGTAACTGTGTCCTGATTACTTCACATTTTAATTAGCAGATAAGTTACTTAATTGTCAGCTTCAGTCTCCAGAATATTCTTTTTATTAATGCTGTTTTCTAACAGGTACGAAATAAAGTATACAGTCGAATATTGTCACTGCGTTCCCCAAATATTTCTGGGACCAGATCTCCACAGGAACTTTTTAAAGCTTCGGGATTGATGCAGGTGCGAGACTTCAGCACAAATTGTCTAGGGCATTCCTCTGCTTTTTGAAGGAGTCCCTCAGTGTTTAGATGTCAACTGCCAACTTTTGTACCCTCCATCTGGCCCCTGAACTTCCACATGCATCTTTTTAGAATTGTTGTGTTTTGTGTTTACAGTCAGGTAAATCCACAGAGTCAGGCTCTGTTGGTGTGATTGATGGGCATTCCAACATGAATGGAAAACATGTAGCAGACTTGCTTCTGTTTTTAGTCTATGATCTTGAGTGCACATTTTGGAACTTCTTTCACTAGATGTGCAAATAGTTTTCCCTGCTACCTTTTCATGATGGAGCTTTCAACAAAACCCACAGGAAGATTAAGTGAGAATTGATAAAAAAGGAAAATGTCAAAATGCCTGTATTACCATAAACATGGATAAATTTTTTGATGTGGTAAATGTATTTTTATCTTCCATCTCTTTATGCCACAATTATTGCATTCTCTGAGGAAGGAAGCTTTACAAATAACATTAAAGTATTGGAAATACTTTGGGTTTTATTTGTTTTCCTAATGATAAAAACTATCATGTTATATATTTAAGTTGAAAAAATATCGTGTCTAATGAAATGTCTCCATCTCCACTACAGACAAATATTGAGCCCTTCTGAACGCAGCTATGTTTGTTCCTTGGTTTAAAATATAATAATGGAGCAAAGGTGCAAGGACCTTTGCTTAGATTGCAAATTCCTGTACCATTAACCAATGGGAGAACAATTTATAAATAAATTTTGACCTTAGAATTCTAATGGATTTCAGAGTTCTGTTCCCCTTTTTCTCAGTACTTGTTTACCTGCCTTCTTTTTGTTTCTTTCATTTCTGGTTTTCATTTCCCTTTTTATTCTGAGGCTCCTAGTTGTCTGCTGCCCTGTATTGAAAACAGTATTGTCATCAATCAGAGATCTGCTTTCAATGAAATATAGGTAGCACAATCACTGAATCACAGGGAAAATAAACTTTATTGTGAGAAATTGAATCTGGACTTTCATACCATTTTTGTGATCTTGTGCCTTTCACTTGCTAGTATTATCCTCTGGCAGATAGATACTGACAGGACATGTAACTGGCACTAGTGGTATCTTTGATATAATGAATTCCATTTTATCTTTTTCAGAAATGGGTGAATAGAGAAATATCCAACTTTGACTACCTTATTCAGCTGAACACGATGGCAGGACGAACTTACAATGACCTTGCTCAATATCCTGTGGTAATTTAAAAAGTTAATTTTTAAATTTTTGCCAAAGCTATGTATTTTTTTCTGAGTTGAAACTTGTAGTTTTAATCTCAATTTGATCTTGATTTTTTTTTTTTGGTAGTTTCCCTGGATTTTACGAGATTACACTTCAGAAGAACTGGACTTGAATAATCCTGCAGTCTTTAGGGATCTGTCCAAACCCATAGGTGTGGTAAATGAAAAGAATGCTAAGACTGTGAAAGACAAGTACGTATTTGAAGACTCGATTATATTTCTCTGTCTTTTCTGAGCCTGCAGGCTAATTAACACATTCACTGTTACTGGAGTAAAATTTTTAAAGCTGGTTTTATAGCATCACGGATGCATTTGCAAAGGTGGTTGATTTGTTGTTCCTGCTGCATTCAGATTATCTTATATGGCACTGAGTTATATGGCAGTGAAAGGACAAAACTTATTGTTATACATTTTCAATTGTTTCTCAGATGTGGAGATAAAAAACTGAAAGGCTGTAGAAAAAATTTAATAGCCCAGCAGATTGAAAACTGCTCTTTTTTTCAAGCATAGATTATTGTCTTTAAAATAAAATGTATCTTGATGACTTTTGGTAAGTCCTGTGTGGGTAGGAATAACAGGTACTTACACCAGTGTAGTTTAGTGATCTTTCCTTTTTTGCTAGAGTGGGTCCTGAGTGTGGTATTATACCAGATTGCAGTCAGGTATCTTCCAAAATCTTCTGAAAACTCGGAACATGGAGAATTTTCTTTGAATTATTAGGCTCTATCCTGACTGTAATGATAATTGGTTCTTTAGCAGTATGATTAACTATAATTTCTCTTACTAGCCTTGTGATGCTGAGGAATATATCAGCCAGATGGTGGCATGGTAGAGTGAGTTTGTGAGTGGAAAAGGAAATGGGCATGAGTGTTAAATAAATCTCTCTTCTGCGTCCTGACACACACATTTCTAAAATCTTTCAGGAAATTGTCACAAGTATCTTCAATAGTAAATGTTCAGCTTAGTGATGTGGGGTTTTGTGGTCTGTTGTATAAAGTCACGCTGAATCAGTCCTGTCTGCCCTTTTTCTAGTTTCTGACAGCTGATAGTAAATGCCTAGGGAAGAATATAACAGGTATGCAAAGGCTTCTTCTGGTGTACATTTTTATAATTTAGCAGCCTTTTGCTTAGGGACTTTCTAAGTAAGATTTGGGATCGTCATGCTTGATAGAATCCAATGTATTTTTCTGTTACAGATTGCTGCGATCGTTTCTTTTGAATCTTTGCCTATAATAAGTATAACCCATATGTAAATCAGCTGTAGTGCTCAGTTGTATTTATAAAGATTTCTTTTTTTAGATATGAGAATTTTGAGGATCCTCTTGGGATGATTGACAAATTTCACTATGGGACACATTACTCAAATGCTGCTGGTGTCATGCATTACCTCATTCGGGTAGAACCTTTCACAACACTTCATATCCAACTTCAAAGTGGCAGGTATGCTGTGGGCAAATGAGCAGCACCTTTCTGTTTCTTCCTTGTCATTTTACAGAGGGAATGACCTAAGTCTAACCTGAGTTTTCTTATCCACAGATTTGACTGTGCTGACAGGCAGTTTCACTCTATTCCTGCTACCTGGCAGGCGCTCATGGACAACCCCAATGATGTCAAGGAACTTATTCCAGAGTTCTTCTACTTTCCAGAGTTCCTGGAGAATCAAAATGGTAAACTGACTGCTCAGAATATTCTCACAGAAAGCTACTATTGCATTCTTCAGAAAAGAATTGTTAAAACCATTTGTAAATGCTATGGAACACTTCTTATTTAGACTTTATGGTGTGATTGTAGATAGTAATCATCATTCTGGGTTCAAACTGTTTAGTGAAGACACCAGTTGTGTTAAGTAGTAACCTAAATGTTTAAAATTCAGAATATGGGCTTAAGGATGGTTAAGAATAGTGTTGTTTACCTGATGTAAAATATCAGGGATTCTTATTTGGATGTTTGAAAAATTTAGTAATAGTTAATATTGATTAAGTAGTCAGCAAAAGTTAATAGAGATTAATTAGTATTCTTTTTACTGGGTTCATTGGGTGATAGAGTATGGACATCTTCAAACATTTGAGGTTTTTTATTTATTCTAGGCAACCAGCATATTTTCTGCTTGTTACTTTTATATTCCATTGCAATATTATGTCCGCCGATTCCAGAGCCATGTAAGGTTTCAGCACCCATCAGAAGAAGAGGCAGGGGAAAAAAAAAAGGCTGTTTCACTCATACAGAATGCTAATTGAAAAGACAACATCCTGCATTCTGACATGATGCTCCTAGCCATTTTTAATTCACACTTACTGTTTAGAGAATTGTTTCTCTACTTATGTTTAAAAATGGATTTGTCTCTTTGTGCTGCTGCTGCTTTAGTCTGCTAGGTACAATCTAATAGAGTTCTAAATTAGAAAAATTAGAAACACCCAAGTCCCACTTTCAAGTAATTTGAATATTTAGAGTTATTTCAACGATAGCTGGTGGGATTTAAGACTTCTTGAAAGCCTTGATTTTTACAATCATATAAACCTATAAGTAACTTTCTTCTTATGAATAACCTCATTGAAATGTTTTGGACTCTTAATCCTAGTAAAGCAAAAGCAAATGTTTACAGATGAATGTGTAAAAGATTAATGCTACTTTTATGGGTGGGACTTCAGTTTCAGAATCGTTTAGATGCTTTGGATTATTGTTATCCTATATCATTTGAAATTTTAAACATTCAGAGCAGAAGTTAACCTCTTGTGTCAGTGGGAGGGTTATTGGAGATTTACATTAAGAATTTTTCAATGTTCTTCCCTTACATTGAGAAAAGAACGAGTTTTAATCTTTATTGAGAAATCAAGATATTTGAAGTATTTTGTAGTAACTCTTAAAATTCTCTGAATTATTCACTAGGTTTTAACTTAGGCCAGCTTCAAATATCAAAAGAGATGGTAAATGATGTTGTTCTGCCCAAATGGGCCCACTCTCCAGAAGACTTCATTTATAAACACAGGAAGGCTTTGGTAAGATGATGTTTCATGTGCCATAATTGTAAAGAAAGCACATTTGCACATTGTTACTGTGGCTTAAATGTAAAATTACTAGGATGACATTCCAGCTAATCTTGTGGTCTCATTCGACATTAAAAGTATCATTACAACATCCCATTAAAAGCATTGTGTATGTTGATAAAATCCTCAAAAGAGCATTTAGTCTTTTGGGCATTTTAGACACTAATCATTTGGGCATTTGCTGCCCTAGGAGATAAAATGCAGAAAAGAGGTGATTTTAGATGATTAGGCTTCCCTTGCTATTTAAAGATTATTGGGTATGGTATTGGGAAGCTAACAGGTTACCTTCCCTTGCATAGCTGCGTCTCAATATTCCAGATCTGCTGCATGACTGTATTAATTTTCCCTCTTACCTGGCACTTACTGCCCGTAACACATGAATGTTCATATGTTTCTGCCCTATACTGAATACCTAATGTGTGAATACTCTTAGTTTAGTAGTTAAATCTCCTCCACAGAAAACAGTAAATACTTCAAGATGGGAGCAGTACTTCTCTTATTCTTACAAGAGCATCTTTTCCTTCTAGGAATCTGAGTATGTTTCTGCTCATCTTCATGAATGGATAGATTTGATTTTTGGCTACAAGCAGAGGGGACCAGCTGCAGTGGAGGCGCTTAATGTGTTCTATTATTGTACTTACGAAGGTACAAAGCAGTATGCTCTCTTGTCATTGTCATCAGACTTGTGAGTTTTCAGTATTAGACAGAAAACACTTGATTTGTGAACATACCATGCAGTAGCATATGGTAAGGCAACAGATTTATAGATGAAATATGGCAGCATAACTTGTAATTTACCATCAAATAACCGGTACAGTTTTTTTTAAAGGAGGGCTGTTACAGTTGCTTGTCTTTTCTTTCTAAAAGTTATTGGGGTTTTTTGTTAGTTTCTTATTTGCTTGCTTAAAAGCATTGACAGGAAGAGGTTTCTTGTGGTTTAGGAGTTTAAGGCAAGTTCCTTATAAAGAACTAATACTGAAGACAAATGTTAATCTGTTAATTTCGAAGTTAAATCTTGGGTGAGTTTTCTGTGCTATTTGTTTCTTGCCTGAAGTATATTAAATTCATTTGTAAGAAAAAAGGCTGGAATTCTTTTGCTTACGGATATGCTTATATTTTAAATGGATGCATTGTTTGGGGGCTTTCCTGGGGTAAAGGATGATAATGCTGCAAATAAATTAAGTTTTGCAACATTAGTTGACCATATTGGTTATCAATAAGTTGTTTGGATTGTGGGTTTTTTCCATCTTTCTACTCTTTATCATTCTGGTTGTGATACAGGGGCTGTGGATTTGGATGCTTTAACAGATGAAAAAGAAAGGAAAGCTTTAGAAGGGATGATAAACAATTTTGGGCAAACTCCCTGTCAGCTGTTGAAGGTAATGCTTTATTGTTCCCACTCAACCAGACCTTTGTGGTTGAAATACAACTGAGTTACAAAGGACTTGTGAAAAAATAATGCTTTGTAAGATAATTACTTGTAATTTTAGGAATGTTAAATCTGTGTTACATTAACATTTGTAAATAACCCATTTTCAAAATAAATTTACTTAAAGAAGGGAAATTAGATACATAAAAGACTGTTTTCCCATTAAGATTCTGAGTATCTCGTGTATTGAACAAATTAATAAATTAGTCTAATTTGTTACTCCTTCAAATATTGCTTCCTAGGAGCCCCATCCACAAAGGCTGTCAGCTGAAGAGGTAGTGCAAAGACTAACTAAAAGTGATACCTCTACTCTGAATCTCTTCCAACACCTCACTGAACTGAAGTCATTCTTCATAGAGGTAGATGTGTTAATGTGTTACTTGAAGTTATTTAAAGTCTAGTTGAAACTTCTGATGTACTCAAAACAAAAGGTCACAACCTAGATGAAAATAAACTTGCTTCCTATTTAAAGAAAATATTTTACAATGCAATGTGTATAAAATGAGCTCTGTCTTTTTAGTTAGCTTCATAGAGGTTGAATCCCATAAATATGTATCTGCTGGATGCTTGTGTGGGTGTTGTTTAAATATTAAATTAGTCACCACACCAAGAAAGCTCAAGACGTCACTGGTGGTGTCGGAGGACTCACTGAACTTGGTAGCTGAACTCACTGATTTGAGGCAGAGCCAGGGTTTCGTTTCCAGTGTTTGGGACAAAGCATACCTACATGAACTCAGTGTGTGTGTACCAGTGTCTTAGAGTACTGTACAGGTCTGACACTGAATCCAGAGGCTTTGGATCTGACTCTTCACAGTTTCTAGAGTTGTCCTTTTGCTCTTGGATATAATCAGATCAAAAGCATGTCTTTTTTTTTTTCTTTAGGGAATTAGTGATGGTGTGCCCATTGTCAAAGCTGTTGTTCCCAGGAATCAGTCACGTTCCTTTATTTCTCAGGGAAGCCCAGAGATCTTGGTGAGTTGCATGTGTCAATACTGTTATTATACTGCAGTCAGTCAGATGGAGGTTTGGGGTTTTTTTCATACAGTGTGTAGAGAAACACTTAATTGTTCCTGTTCAGATGTGTTCCTTTAACCTATAATGAATGTCAGCTATAAGTTAAACATTTATCTTCCAAAGGAGAAGCGAGGCTGATTTCTTGAATGGCATTAAAGAGCTGATGAGACATGACTGTAAGTTGTAGTGAGGCATATTGTAAGTTGCCCACTTGATTCACTTCCATGTAGCAACCAATTTCCTAGTGCGATGCAGCCTAGATTTAAAATTACAGGATTGAGTTATTAATGGTGTCTTTATCATTGCTTTCCAACCCATATATAAAATATACCATATGTGTTGCATACACACTCCAAAGACCTGCACTGTTGCTTAAACTAACTAATGCACTAATACAGGTTCTGGTACTATGGCAGATGATCAAATAACGAGGACAGTGTTTTTGTATTTACATCTGTATATATGTGGCCTAGATATTGGTCCCACTGCAATAACATTTTTTGCAGGAAAAAATATTCTTTTCCAATATTCCTATTTTGTAGGTCAAAATTATTGTCCTGGCTTAATATGGTACATGCATGTTATTTGGAATTTGGACACATCTAAAATTATGATTGTGTTTTTTATAAATATCTGATGAAAATACCTTACATATTTAGATTCTTTTGTTATTTCCTCAGAAATGGAACTGTAGTATAATGTTTTTGAAACTTCCTCTGTTAATGTGTTAACTGCTAATGATTACTATTCAAAGAAGAGAAGAAGCAGCAGCTTAAATTAAATGACTGGATTGTAATCAAATGTTTGAGAGGGGTTGGTCAGCTGAGATTTTTCATTTTTGTCTCCTGCCTGTCCCTCCACCCCAGCTTCTCTGACCTATCTAGAACATACACTATTCTAGCTTGGTACTATGTACCACATGTGGATTAACTCATCTGAACTGGAGTTTTTACTTGTTTGTTTGTTGGGGGAGAGTTACATGTGGTTTTTCCTTTGTGGTAAATTTTCAAGAAGCCTCTACTGGATTTTATGCAAGCTCTATTACCATGAAGGCAATCAGAAAATATACCTCTCAGTTTCACCTTTCTTTTTTTTTTTAATCAAACTTTTTTAGGTAACAGCAAGTCTGAACTGCATTATTGGAACTCATGGTTGGCTACCTTATGATAAAAATATCTCCAACTATTTTACATTCATCAGAGATACCACAGTGACAAATCCCAAGTAAGCAAATTATGAGGAGGGGTGCAGATGAATACATCTAAACTAATGGAATACAGCAATTGTTCAACAATCAATCGATTGTTCTGTTTCCATTGTCTGAGTTTTCACCTAGGAGTTCATCTTCTGATATTCAGTAATACTACACCTAGTCTGTAACGGCATTCTAGTAAAGAGTTATGTGTCATTTGAAGCTTCATTGTTCTTAGAGCTACTTCCAATTTTTTTCTAATTGTCAATCATAAAAACTCATCTTGAAATCCAAGATGGGCGGTCTTCATACTTTATTACACAATGTCTGGTGGTTTGGGGTTTTTGGTTTTAGAATATTCCTTTTTCTCTTTGATGTTACAGTACTGAGTAAGGACATGAGTTATCAAATTGCATAAAAGACTGAAAATATCTAATGTAAAATTTCGCTTCTGCTCTGCTGATGGCAGTGAGAGTTTTGCCATAGGTATAGCCTCCTTTATAGATGGAGTTTGTAGCGGATTTTCAAGGATAGAGGAAGTGCAAAATACATAGATTTGAACTAAGGTTACTCTTAACTGCCCATCATTTGCCTACAGAACCCAACGCAACATGAGTGGTCCTTTTGCACCAGGGCTGGAGATCACCTCAAAGCTGTTTGCAGTGTCCCATGATGCAAAGCTGCTCTTCAGTGGAGGACACTGGGACAACAGCATCAGGGTGACATCTCTTACGAAAGGCAAGCTGATTGGACAGCACATCAGGCACATGGGTTAGTAACTCTTTGTATTATGAAATAAAAAGGGTTTATGTGTGTACCTTGTTATTTGGTGGTCTTGGAAGGAATTATAGGCTTGGGCAAACAAGCATAGCAGTTATAAAGCAATGGCAGCATAGGAATGAAAGAATGCTTAAACCATGATTATACATAAATACTTGAACGTGGCTTTTTAGTCACTGGAGTGGTGGTTTAATGTAGTTTCAAAATAAGGCTTGCCTGCTGTTTTTAGGTAGCAAGACTGAATAGGTCAGGTTGGTACACTTGGCTGCACCATGACTTCATTGTTTCAGAGAGTCTCATCCGCCCTTATCACAGTGGAGGATTTCATGCTGATGCAAATCAGGATATGTTGTTGCCAAATTGTATCCACATTGCCAGTCTGTGGGAAATTAGTCTTAAATACCAATGTGATAACTTTCTGTTTTCTTTCTTTTATCTAGATATTGTGACCTGCTTGGCAATAGACTACTGTGGAATTCATTTAATTTCAGGCTCCAGAGATACTACCTGTATGATATGGCAAATAGTTCAGCAGGTATGTTACTTAGGTGTACTCTGAGAAGCAGTTTCTGAATGTATTTTTGTCCTCTGTTTTGCTATGATGTTTTGTTGATTTCCCTTCAGGTTTGCAAGGAAGATAGTCCACTAAAATTGATTAGCTTAATAATTTTACTCCCTTTGTCTTCTCTGTTTGAAAAACTATCCACGTTAGTTACTATATAGGTGAAGTACACTATTTTAGAAGCTCTTTTAAAGATTTCGTAGATTATTTTCATGGTAGGAAAATAGGAATGTTACATTTCTAGGCAGTTGTTCACTCCAGTAGTTGCATTTTAGCACTGCCTTTTCTCTGTGGAGAGTATTGATGTCTACAATAGGAGCTAGTCTATTACCTGCATTTACACTGTCATTTGAGAATTCTTTAATATTAGTCTTGTGCTTTCACACAGTGAAGGTGGTTGTGTGATCCAGGTGTGTGCTTACACTAAAAATGTTATGCATTTAAAATATTCGTTTCTGATTGCTACATTTCAGATATACAAGTAGAATTAACTGCCACAGGGGAGCTGTCATGTTTTGGTCAGGTCATGTTGTTCTTATCATTGAACTGAAGTCAGCACATTAAAGCAGCAGAGTGGTGCATAACTGCATGTGTTTTTGTGGAAGCTGTCTTTATGGTGGGAGTATTCACAGTTGTTTCAACTGTAGTAACAGTGCAGGGTCAAAAAAAAGCGAGACCTTAGAGCTCATACCAGTATTTTTTTGTCTCAAGAGGGGATAAATGTTGGAAAATTTTTAGTTTGTCTTTTCAGTGTGAGTTGAACAGTCATCCTCTGGAGATTATCTTTGTTTAGAATTACTTTTTCTTAAGATCTGAATGTATTTTTTGTTTAGTAGATATAAGAACAAAGTGGCAGCAATGGACTGCATACTGGCAGCTCCATTCTAATTGTCTTCTCTGCGCTGTCACCTTTCCCAGCCCTGTATTTTGACACTTGTTCTGTATTCCTGCATGATTCAGGCTTTCAGGACTTGGTTTGCAGTCAAATTTTTATCAGAGAAATGAGAACAAATAGTTCTCTGCAGAACTGTTTACTGTACCTTCTCTCTAAGTACAGGTCTTGCCTTAGAATTGGTTTGAGAATGTCTTTGTGTGCTGGCAGTGCACTCCCTGTAAGAAAAGTTGTGATACCCTGCAGTTATGTGGGAAAATTACTATTCTTCATGAACATTATTGCAAGATTTCCTTTGCATATCACACTACTGGTAGTCACTGAGAAGGATTATTTCCTTACTTTTCCTTAGAAAATGAAAAGATTGCTGTTATTTTAAGCAAAATAGCCTTCAGCTTCTTTAAGCTTAGCTGTGGAGATAGTGCTTCATTCCAGGGTAGACTTTAAGAACTGGACAAGCCCAGATAACACAGGCGAAGAATAAATGTGTGAATGGGGGGGTGAACAAACCCTGTTAGGACTGCTCACTGTGGCCCTTGCACTCCTGGACACCTGAAGGGATAGAGACAAGACAGCTAAGTAACACACTCTCTCTCTCTCTCACACACACACACACACACACAGACACGGAGTAACTGCATGTTTGTTCATTCAAATGATTTCAGTGAATAGGGCTGCTGACATAAAAGGCAGTAAATTAAAATTGGAATGGGTGAGTTATACCTTTGGTTTTGGCCTACGTCAAATACGCACCTCTCACAACTGAAGATACCAGAAATTCATTTTTTGTTTGTCCTCAGCTGCAAGAGAATGTGTCATTGCACTTTTTGTTACTCTCAGGGAGGAGTGCCTGTAGGCCTGGCACCTAAGCCATTTCAGATCCTTTATGGGCATACTGATGAAGTTTCGAGTGTTGGCATCAGCACTGAACTTGATATGGCAGTGTCGGGATCCAGGGTAAGTATCTTCCTACTTTTCCCTTTTTTGCCTCTTCTCTACTCAAACCATAGAGCACACTTGAAGTTGATTAAGAAAAATACAAAAAATGTCACTATTGCACAATTTTTTTCTTCAGCCTTGCACAGTGAGAAGATATGTGCCATCTCCTTTGCTGCCTGCTTACATCGTGCTGTGCACAGCATGAGCCTCACCTATTATGTGTTGTTACTCTGCACAGATGAGCTTTAACATGTGTGGACTTCCTTGGAGATTTTAAACTTCTCATAGCGATAATTCTGGGGCAGTTTCTTCCCTGCTCTGTTAACCCTGTGCAGCTTGCTCATAGTCTGCCTTACTCTTACTACGCTGGCAGGCTGCTGAACTCTGACTTTGTACTGCATATAATGCCCACTTGTAAATGTGACATATGAAATGGCTGATTTGCTGCCTGCCCTCCCCCTCTTGCCCTGCTTGGATTTGGTTTTTTCATATGCCTATAGTGCATGGTCTTGAGGGGAAGGCTTCTTTGTCCTTATCTCCCATTAAGGATTTGAGTGCTTTCAAAGTATTCCCTGTATCCTCTCTGTATAAGTGTTGTGGTAACTTACCTGCTGAGTAACAGTTTGCCTTGCTTTGGTTGCTGCAGGATGGCACCGTTATTGTCCGCACTATTCGGAAAGGTCAGTACGTGAGGACTTTGCGACCACCTTGTGAGAGTTCTCTCCTGCTGACTGTTCCCAATCTGGCTGTGTCCTGGGAAGGACATATAGTTGTCCACACCAGCGTAGAAGGAAAGACTACTCTTAAGGTACTTAGGTTCATGGAATACCTCTGTTTCTGTCACTGAAGACTTTAATCGTAAATATACCTAACTTATTTCCTAAGGGAAAGGCCTTTTGAGCATGCAGTGTCTGTTTCCATATTTTTTGAATTTTTCTAGCCAATTTCAATGAAATTTGATTAAAAGATAAATCACAGGCATATTGTGCTCTTGTGAGTTTCATGAAGATCTCCAAACACGTGCAAGGAAGATGATTAAGCATAGGCTAACAAGTATTCCTGGGAAAGCTGCTTTGAACTGGAAAACCAGGGGAAACAAGTTCCACTGTGCACAGAAACGGGGGCTTATAAGGGGAGCACTAAGTTCAGTGTGCAAGATGCTCAGTGAATACAGTTTCTTAGTTTCAGATTGGAGACATAGCTCTAAGGTTCACTGGTAGCTTATTCTCTCTGTTGAGGAGCTGCGTAGTTGCTTTAATAAGGAATCAAGTTGTGATTTCTAGGAGCATAGGAAATTTATTGGTAGACAAATTTTTTTTACCTAGGCGTACTAGCTACATTGGGAAGATGGGGAGAGAAGAGACCCAAGGTATTGTCAGGCTGGAAGAATTTAAGACACTTTTGTTAGTTTAGTGTCTTTAATCCATCAAGAATTTGTTGCCTTGTCCAGAAAATGATTTTAGTTCTAGTGCTCTAGAAATATACTTGTTTCCCTCTGCTTTTCATTTTGGGAGGGGAAGGGGGGGAGGAGGGTGGTAGCAAGGCTGAAAATGAGTGCTGTCTTCCTTTCTTCTTCCTTAAGAAAAATCCTTATAAAATAGGGACCTGTCTGTTAAATCCATGATGTTTCCTGGAGATTTGGAATTAATTAAAGGATAGGTAAGATGTTACAATGTTACATAAAGAGGTAACTTCAAAAATTTCCTTACAGGACTTTGCATCCATACTTATTGAGTGTAGAATCGCTACTCTTGTATCATTCAACAAGGAGACTGTTTTTAACATTGTCTGTGGGTTTGCTCCTGTTAGTGAGTTGAGGATACAGATGCTACACTCTTTATCCTGTCAGTCCTCTGTGACATACTTATTTTTGATCTATTCAGGATAAGAATGCGTTACATCTCTATTCTGTCAATGGAAAATATCTGGGTTCTGAGACTCTGAAGGAGGAAGTGTCAGATATGTGTGTGACTGGCGAGTATATCGTGATGGGCAGCTTACAGGGATTTCTTTCCATACGGGATCTCTACAGGTAATGTACCACCATCAGTAGTTTATTATTGAGGTACAAATAGTACAAATATAAGGGCTTATTGAAAAATGGCTGTATAATATGGATTTTGCTTGGTGCTATAGGCAATTCCTGTGTTCCTGAAAAAACTTTTTGGGGAGAACTAAGACAGGGAGAAAAATAAAATAAGAGTTTGTAACTGACCTCTTTCTTCCCAGACATTTATCCCAATTAGACACCTAGAACTGACAGAATTCAGGAGGAGCTGTGTCTGACATTTGCAAACTGTGATTTTCCTCTGACTAGTGACGGGGAGCTCAGCAACTGCAGGATCAAGTCTCATGTTGCTCTGCACTGAGTTTTAAGCTCCACTTACTGCTACTCTCTGTAGAGCTCCATTGTTCCTCAGAATGGGAGTGATCTTTGTCACTTAGGCAGCTGTGGTACTAATGTTACTATATTTCAGTGAAAATGTCTTAGCTTACTGGCTTACCCATCAATGCCTTTACTTGTTATTGAAGCTCTGTTCTGGGATATGATTACACTGTTCTGTAGGAGTTTACAATAATGGAAATTGCAAACTGGATCCTTGAGAAAGCATGTTTTATAGTGCATCCTGTGGACAGCCATTTCCACTGCAATGTGATTCTTTGCAGTATGTGCAAACAAATACATGATGTACTTTCTCTCTGTGGTTTTTTGGTTCATTTCAGCCTGAGTCTGAGCATCTCCCCCTTAGCCATGCGACTGCCAATTCACTGCATTTCTGTCACCAAAGAGTACAGCCACATCCTTGTTGGCTTGGAGGATGGCAAGTTGATTATCGTTGGTGTTGGCAAGCCAGCAGAGGTAAAACCTACCATCAAGAACTTTTTCTACCGAACAGTGGGAAGTTCACTTATTTCTGCTTTCCAGTTGAGCAAGAGGTCTTCTCTATGGCAGGGTAAATTTAAGAGCAAGTTTCAGTTTTCAGTGGGAAACAAATAACTGTTGAGACTGCTCTACTGAAAGTTCTCATTAAGAATCAGAGGTATATATAGGGATCGCAGATGGGAAGCTCAGCTGGACTAACTTCCAGACTTTATCATTCACATCTGAATAAGCAAAGTCATAATAGCTAATCTTTTCTGAACGGGATAGTGTTGTCAGCCACTTCTTGATGAAATAATTTCCCTGAAGAAAGTTGGAAAAAAAGAGAGCAAGCCACTTTGTTTATTTTTATGGTTTCTGTCAGATATCTTTTAATATGCATTGACTGACATTGGGGGGAAAAAATATTACTTCTTTCTGTTTAAAGTCTCTGATTGCAATGCACAGAGAATCACTTCTGTAGGTTCTCAGTATGCTCAGTGCTCCATATGGTGAATATAAACTTGTTGGTACTGCATATGCAATATCAAATACAGAGCATCCATCTGTCAAATAGATATGCCCAGTTTTTCATGTGCAAAACATAGGTTTTGCTTTAAGTACTTCTTGTCATGACTTTCAAAGTACTTGAGTTAGCTTCAACCTGCTTCTCTTTATAAACTGGATCTCTGTTGTGCTGCAATGTATTTATTTGAAAATGTGATTATCGCTTTTGCATGACCTTTAGTACATGCCAGAAAAGTGTCTTAATTTAATTTTATATTTTAAATGTGATAAAAGAGAACTTACTTGTCAGTATTTCAGTATGTTTTAGCTAGGCGATACATAGTTTAAGACTGGAAATAGGCTTCACACAGTGGTAGTCTGATCTTGCTTGCAGCAGATGCGGTGGGGTTGGTTTTCACTGACTTCCAGTTGAACAGCTTTTATTCTATTGTAGAATTGACAAAGAGCTGATTCTGATGTGGTTAAACATATGTTTGTAACAGCAGTTTTAAAGTCACTGTCATTTCTAAGCTTCCTATTCCATAGAAAGATCTTTTGTAGCCTGAAATTTGTATGTATCATTAGACTGAAGGCTTTTTGTTTTCTTATTTTCAGTTCTTAATCATTTCTATTTTTCTAACTATGCAGAAAGTGTTGTTTCAAAGACTGGTTTCCTTTTATGACTGTAGAGGCTTTCCAATGATTCTTTTTTCAGGATTTTCTGTTTATATTTCAGATGATCTTCAAGTTAATATCCATGTAAATAGATTTTTTTTTTAAGCACAAACATATAAGGAACAACATTATGTCCCAGATTTTCTAGTTTTCTATAACGGCATCAATCAATATATTTGAAAAGTGTATGTATGTGGGGTGTTTATTTGTTGAATGATTTATTTTTAGTTTGGAAGGTATTAATTACTAGAATTTATCTGTATACAGAAGACAGTGTTGTAGTTCTGGCTTTCAGTGGTGATACTGATCCTTAGGACAGAGGATTGGATCCATAGGAGTGACCTTCTCTAATGAGCATAAAGGGAAATGCTGCTTGGTATTAAGATTGGCCTTTAGTGTTTCTACATTGGCAGTATCTACTATGAAGTATAATAAATGTTTTTGTGTTTTTAACAATTACTTAGCTGGTTTGGATGTTGCAGAAGTCTGGGCAATTATAACCTGTTAGTGTTAATCCTGGTCAGCACTGTGCCTTTTCTAGAACACTGCTGCTGTAATGATACAGTTCTTAAGCTTGTTAAATTTGTAGTAGTGACTGGGGGGAACTGTTCCTGAACTTGTGTTGTTAAGGCATTCATCTTGTTTACTGAACTGCAAGAAATTTTATAACCTGATAAGCTGCCAGGCTGATCACTACTGGCCAATCATCAACCTTGTACTTTGGCAGTAAAACAGTTTCTTACAAATTGTTGTCAGATTGCAGACCTACCAGATGCTGGATTTAATATGGCCTCTGGTTGCTTGTTATCTGTCTTAACTTATGGAGTACTCATTATGACTTACTTCTGGTTCAAATTTTACTCTGAACACTTCACACAGGATCTTTGGAAGACTATAAATTTGACACCAGGAGATAACCTTTCTCTTTTTCCTTCATTCTGCCATCACTGTCTTGCATCTTGGTTATCTTTTCTTTTTCACTTCTAGCACTATTTGAAATCTCTAAAATAAAATGTCCTTTCTTCTCATTTGATTCATTCTTGCTTGACATCCACTTCTTTTTTCCCTTCCTATCAAAATAGCAATCTAAACACTGTTTCTAGGCCATTTGAAGTAGGTTAAGCATATAAGTGTACATTACTTGGCAATATCCCTTTAGCTGTTCAAAATCAGAGAAGACTGTGGTTAGTGTTTTGTGTGTTGTTTTTTGTCAGTCCCAAGAATCATCCCTAAGTGTTACTTCTGGTTTGTTTTCAAATAATTTTTGTTGATATAGTTTTGTTTATGCAGTACATTGTAGTGTCTGCATTTCACCAGAATCAGTGTCTGAATTCCTTTTTAATTTATCCACCTTATCCCTTCCCCCTCCTTTTGTTTCTCTGAATTACTTTTAAACAGATGCGCTCAGGTCAGCTTTCCCGAAAGCTGTGGGGATCAAGCAAACGGCTCAGCCAGATTTCATCAGGAGAGACTGAATATAACACTCAAGATTCCAAGTGATTGCTGCTTCTACCTTCTCTCACGGATTCCAGAAACTTATTTAATCTTTTTGTCACTTTAAATGTATAAATATGCAATCAGGGGCTTGATTCTTAAGTCTATTGATGAAGAACCCATGTTAGAGGTATAGTAGTAAGCATATGTACTCATGCAAGTTAGCTTGCTTGCATATTTTCTCTAACTGTGTTGACTTGGTCACAGCAGTATCCCTCTCTCAACAGCTGCTAAAACTGTGTTTTGGGAGGGGAAAAAAACCCCAAAACCAAAAAACCCACAAGTTTCCAAACTCAAGCTTACTAATTGAATTTAAGATAAGTAGCATTTGATGTAAAGCTGAATAGGGCCAGATGCTCCTTGATCACAAAGAAGGTATTTGGCTTTGCTTTGACAGCATTGTTATTCCCCAATAAATTAAAATTCTGGCAGTTGCAATGGTTGGATTCAGAATTGGGATAGCTGACAGTTATGACCTTCTCAATATGTTTTCTAGCCCAGTGAACATTTTATTGCAATTTGTTCATGTAAATGGCTATTGCTGTCTTCTTTTGTGCAGTTCCAGTTTTAGGCTGTTCTGCAAGGAACATCTGTGTTGCACTACTTGATTATCAGAGATTGTTTAAAGTACAGACATGAATAACTTAAAAGGAGTTGAGGTGGTGAAGGAGCTGAAGGAGGTAGGAAATACTTGCTGCTGAAAATTATTTGTATTGTCAAGTAGACTAAGACACACACCAAGAAATCCCATGGTATATTTAATATCTTGTAGAAATACAGAGGAAGAATCATTATCTTATATTGGTCAAAGATCAATCTGCTTCATTAGTAAGGCAACTCCTGCAAATAGAAGATAAATTTCCACTGCAGAATCATTATGCAACATTGCAGCACAATTTAATTAAAAATAGCACCTGTTTGTTTCTTGACTTGGTGTTCACCAAACCAGTTGTTAGCCATACTTTTTTCTGTAAAAACAAGCAGGGAAAAACAGATGAACATTTTGAAGATGCATTTAAGGCCTAGTAAAAGAAAATACTAGATCCTTACACGTGCTGTATCCAATTGCATGCTATGTTTTGGAGAAGGCATTACTGGTTTGTTTTTTTTTTTTTCTTGGTTTACCAATATATGATGATAGAAGGGTGTGCATTTTCCTATCATTCTGACATTTTTATAATGTTACTGATTTAAATGATAAACCCCATACTGTTGGAAAAGCCTGGTGCTGAGGGAAAAATATGAATTTTTGGATCAGCGTGTGAAGGTGTGTGTATGTGTATATATGTGTGTATGTGTATATATATGTATATTCATGTATGTATGTCTATTAAAAGAGAAAATACCATGGGATAAGGGGAGTATAGATACAAGGCTGAACTATAAGTGATTGTTAGATAGCATGTTCCCTTTTGGCTACCCCTTCCTTCCCTCTACCATCACTTTTCTTGTTATTTTTTATTTATTTATTGAAATGGATGTGTGTTGTATCTCTTGTAAATGTCATCAGATATTCCCTGTGGCTGGGGAGTTGTTGAACTACCTGAGGAACTGCATAATGTATAATCTCATTTCATTAACTTTAAGCACAATATTTATTAACTTTGTAAAAATAGTAATACCTCCTTACCCTGCTAAAGGATAATCTTTACAATTTCGATTAGTCTCATTAAAACTGATTTCTCCTCCTCAATTTCTTTACTGGAAAAAAAAAATCCCTCTTAATGACTGATTAGTGTACTGTGTAAAGAAAGTTGTGTTGCTTTTTCTTAACTTTTGTAAATGAAATAATAAATCAGACTAGTGAACAAGTGGGTCTATGCATAGTTGCAATATTCTGACTATCACTGTGACAGACTGGATTGTCTGGAAAGTTAGGAGGAAGTAAGAATTATTTTCCCGAGTCACTTGCCAAGAGAGGATTAAATTTCCAAAAGTAGAGTGGTGTGGTTTCTTTTCATACTGCATGTATGTAAAAAAAAAAAAATTTACAACCACATCCCATATTTTCAAGTAAGCTATAGAGAACTGAAAAATACTATTTTTAATCAGTTACCTCTCCAGTAAGAATACTGAGGATACTCTGGAAGTATAAAGTTTGTACATGAGAATGTGAAGTATGTTTGTCCATTATAATTTCATGAAGAAGGGATTGCAGGGGAGCTCTTTAGAGAGTAGTTTAGAGGAATTTCAGCTCAGAATGTGAGATTTTTCTGTGTTATGGGAAATTGAAAAACTCAGTTGGGACATTGAGATGATGGGTTTTGTAAGCATGCATATATGTTGTGTTTAAATGCATATATGAGGCTAAGTGTTTATTTGCAGGGGAAGGGGTCAGGAAATTATGATGTTTTGGGCTAGCAGAATAAAGTGGAAAAATGGAGGAGATGGGTCTTTCCTAGTGTTTGGTGAGAGCGAAGTTTTCTTTTTGGCACTTGCTTAGAGAGGTTTGCATAAGGGTTTGAAAACATCCTACTGTGGGTTAGGTATGTTTATACAATAGTTGAATTGACATTTTTAGTAGTTTAATATTAAAGAATACTGAATACAGCGTGTCAGTTTAAGTAAAATATGTTGCAATAATTGGGGAGGAAATAGTTTATGATGAAGACCTTTGACATTTCAATACCAACATATCAATGCATCACAAGCATTGGGCGATCTTCACAAATACATGGGACAGGTTTAAATGTGGACAGTTCTTGGGCTCTCAAACTTGAGGCTAGTTTGTGTTCAGCACAAAGCAGCTGCAGCATGAGGAGGGGGACAGATGAGCTCTGAGCTGCTTTATGCTCTAGGAAGAGTGGCAACATCCACTGCCTTTTGATCTTTTCTCTGGTCCTTGAGGGATGGGAGGTATACACCATCACACACTTGGTGTCCTTGCCAGAGGCCTTCTGGAGAGACCTCCATAGGTTTCAAGGTCTGCACTTTGCCTTTATCTAAAACCAGCTTTAAGTAAAAGATAAAAGTCGTAAGTGTGAGCATTAGCTGGCATGTTGTTTCTTTTGGTTTTAACTTATTTGTATAAAAAGTAGAAAATAATTTTTTAAAAATAGAAAATAATTTTTCTGATCAGTTGTTTAGGTCGGTTGATTTGCAGTCTGTTATGCAGTGCACTGTGAATTAGTGAACTGACTTCCATAGTTCTTCCATTTCTTCAAGTCAATAAAGCTTAGGATCCCATTTTGTTTGTCGTATAGTATTGGTGAAATAACATTATTCTTTGGTTTTGAACAAAGATTTATCTGTAAAAAGTACAGCTGTGAGATGAGAATTCTAATTAAGAATTTAGAATAAAAAAGTCTTAAGTGACATTTGTTTCATAGCACTACATTTGTCACCATCTTCTTGGTGATACTGTTTTTAATTTTTGGAGAAACTCGAATTATTTATCAACGTTTAAGATGTGCTTACCTTTGAAGATGAGTAAGTAGGAGTGTAAATATATATATCTAAAAGAAACTGAAAACTGACACGCTTTTCACACCTGTACATAAATGAGATCAAGTAGTTAGCAGTATTGAGTAACTTCTCCATAGCACAGTTTTGAGCTTGGATACCAAAGGATATTTAGAAGACATCTCTCCTTTATTTCAAGTAAAATGTTTGCTAAATTTCTCTTTATCAATTTACTTATAATTCATGATAGTATTTTTAGTTGTCTTTTTATATATAGTGAAGAATCCCATCTAGTCTTTGCTGATTTTGTACTATACAAGCATACAGAAAGTGAAGTGCTTGCTCTTCAACTTAGCATTTGACTTATGCAAGTTTTTCTATATCAATGTACTTGTTATCTATTACTTGCTCATAGGATATCTAGAAACCACGTCTTCTATCATCCATGTACCTTACCAGCACTAAATAATAATCTCAGTGTTAAACTAACTGCATTTGTCCTGATGGTTAATACACATTATGGAAATTAGGTTTTAGGAAGCCTGTTGGATTTAGAAAGAAAGGGAAAAAAAAAGAAAAAAACCCGAAAGCAACAAAACAAACAAAACACCCACAACCTCACAACTTCCCCCCCCAAAAAAACAAATTAACCTATACTCACATTACAATTATTTTGCTAATCTGCAGCGGTGATATAAAGAAGCTTTTTTTCCCCTCTGGTATATCTTAGATCATGGATATTATCACAAAACAGGTTTATCAGTCTTCACAGGCTTTAAATAGCCTAGTCAATTGACTGTTTTATAAGGATCCTCTTGAAAGTTGTATTTCTTTGTCCTTTAAATGAAAGCAAAGAACTAAGTTTCTGCACTGGAAAAATTCTATATGGGACTAGTAACATTGTTCTGCTTTAAGACAGTCCTGCAGGAATGATAAATTTATTTTTATCTGTAATGCACAATATTAGGTAGGTCTTTTAACTCTTGCCTTAGTCAATGGGAGCTGTATACCTCACTTCCCTAAATCATGTCTCCCTCCTCCCTGTTTCCTCTGCAAGTCCTTCCCAATCTTAATTAACAAAATCCTTAGAAAATATAAATCATGGAACCAAATGCTGCACAAAGCTTTTACTGTGTACATGTATTTAGCTGAAAACATGTATCTATATACAGATTATGGAATGGTAGAGAGCTTTAGAGCTAGAATGGGTGTAGAAATGTCGACATCCTTCTGCTCCTACATTGAGAGTCTGTGTAGGTATGTGCTCTGTATCCCCTGAAAGCATTCCTGTCTTCCACTGCTAAAGGCACCTTGCTGGCTAGGATAATGCTGAGCCTACGTGCTGTGAATATTTTCCTTTTTTTCCTTTCAAAGAGTTAAAAAAAGAAGAAGCACACACATATAAATGCATATCCTAATGTGAACCTAAGACTTGATCTAATACTGTTATATGAAAGCACTACATAGGGTTATATTTAATTGGGTGGAAATTCAAGCATGTGCTTCTAGGTCTTTTTATGCTTTTTGGCTTAAAAGCTATGTAGGTTTCAGTTGTAAACGTGACACTTGTTAGTAGTCTCCTTTGGGGGACAGTAAGTTTTTGTGGAATCACATGTATGTGGGCTCATTGGATGCCAATGTTAGAGTCAACTGAAGTGTTTGGAATATGTCTTTCCCTCCATCCCAAGGAGCCAATCTTATTACTAATTGCCCTTGTTAACACACACTTTTGAAGGAAGCAAGGGTTTTCTAAAAAGCTACTGCAATTAAAGAAAAACATTTAAAAATTGATAAAATGCTGTTGTCCCCTTCTTCACTATTGCAGTCATTAGATGCCTAAATGCAGAAATGCCTCTGAGTGGCACCATAACATGCTCTGCAGTTTCAGTGAGTGCCATCGACCTTACTGCAGTCTTGAACACCCCACCCCATATGTGAGGAACTGCCCTTTGTTTTGTTTTAATTCACCTTTTTGCTGTGTATCTGTGGAAGAAGACTGGTATGTCTTTCTTTTACTTACCATTTACCTACATGGCTCAGATAAAATACGTGTTTCACTTCTTTTCGATAGGGTTCCTTCAGTTGTGTGTTATTCCTAGTTTTGACTTGGAAAATTTGGCAGGTATGTCCAGACTTTGTCTGTGATTATACTCAGCACAGACACAATTTCATAACACGTCTTCTGTCCCGGAAGCATGATTATCAGTGTAGGTTATGGTTTAAAGCTGCTAAGATGTTTAGAGATTGGAATATAAAACTTCCAGCCATGTACATCACAGATCTAACTGAACCTGAGGCCACTTGTTTATTTAGCTTCCTATCTAGTCAGTATTTTCCTCTCAAGGGAGCCATATTTTTTGCCTTGAAATAACTTTTTAAAATAAACTTAAGTCTTGCACCTGACAGTACTGCTTTAGTCATGCGCAGCTGTGAGCTGTCGCTTAAAGAAAGCCATGAGGGGAAAAAAGAATTCAAGGAAAACTTGCAATAAGTATTCTGATTCAAACCTTTACTATGCAGGAGCAGCTTGATATAAGCTTAGAGAAATGCTATGTGTAAGACTTACCTCCCTTTGGTCAGTGTTTTGATGGAAACTGTGATGCTACTCAGTTTGCCTGATGAATTTTTACTAAAGCTAATGAGGGAGTGGAAGCAAAGGCCTTACAGCAACAGTTAACCATATCTTCTGATAATTCTTACAGACTGTGCAATTATGTGATTACAAATGGATTTTTAAATGCCAAAAAATGCCTTTCTAAAGAGTTAATGTTAGGTCTGAGGAGTGTTGGAAATAGCCACTTTCAAAAATGAGCCTTCAGGCACTGTAATGAACTTGCTGTCAGTCTTCTGTGCAATATCTTTTTCCCTCTGGGTGCTTTAAGTGTATACTGTATGTCTTACTTTGTTTTGAGAGTGTGTATATTGGCTAATGATGGATTTTTTTCCTGTACAGCATGGTGGAAGATGTTTTAAAATTTTGCACTTTTCTAGGATTTGCAAGTTTGTAACCTGACAATTTTTAACATGCACACTTTTGTAAATAATTAGCATTGTATATATTTAACATGAGTCTGAAGCAAATAAAAGTAATTGAATGCATAACTTCTCCATTTATTAATAGCACAAAAATGAAATGAAGTGTGGAAGCACACTGAAGGAACAGTTCTTTCATTTAGCAGGTAAATCTGCAGCAGGAACAGCTGACTCGCTGTCCTGTCTTAATTGTGTTAAACTAACTTTTTTTCGGTGGGGAAGGAATCAAACCGGATACATGAATGTACAGACCCTTTCAGACTTCAAATAGCTCTGATTACTCAAGTATTGCAATAAAAAATGTCTTTTTGCTGGGAAGGAGATGTCCAGGACATGAATCAGGGTGAGGAAAAAAGCCCACTATACATATTTATAAATAGACATATGGTTCTCCACCCACCCTGGGACTTAGAAGCATCTCTTTCCTTCTTCCTCATTGTCTTCTCCATGTAGTAATTTGTGCTGCAGGAAATGGAAGGCTACAGATTCGGGGGATTACTGTCAGTCAGGAGGAAACTGAAATCTGTTCCAGGCTCATGTTCAGTTGGTTTCTTCCCCCTTAAACAAGACAAACCATGCTGTGAGCTTTAACAGGAGCTGGGACTACTGTGCTTCCATCTGTTACTAGGGATGGAACCAGGCACCCTTATGCTTAACAAGCAGAGTTTTGACTCCCTTCCTTGCCCACGTCATAGCACATACGTATTAGATTTGAACATTGCTAATGTTCATATGAATAAAGACATGGGTTTCCTTGTTCTGGAGTTCTGTGCATTAGGACCAAACTGGCGTTCCCCTGGCTTTCAATAATGGAGCTGACTACTGGGGCTCTTTCTTTGAAGGGTGACTAGAACTTGGAAGCATAATCATCAACGGATGCAATGCCACAGCACTTAACTGTGTAAATTAGACTTCCTTTAGAGTGCTGTCATACTGTCTGCTCCTTTGGAGCATAAAACTACTCGTGTTTTCCCCAAAGAAAAATGGAACCAAGGGATTAAGTAATTTCTGATGTGGGGGACAGGCAGCATGTACCAGGAATCTAACAAAAGCTTCTCTTCCTTTCTATCTGAAGGATGATAACAATTCAAATGAAGCATTTACCTCAAAAACAGACGTGCTCCTGTCAATCCTTGCAGCGTGGCTTTGTCTCCTTCCACTAGCAGCATCGCACCTTCCCGCAAGCCCTAATGTAGGTGGAAACATTTAACATGATTTTCGAGCTATTTGACAGGGTAGAATGCTTGTCACAAGCAGGCCAGTCTTAGTGCATCTCACCATGACTACAGACTAGACTTTCTCGCTTACCTAACAAAGATGCAAAGACAAAATTTAGTGAGTAATCTTGTTTTAGAAGCTGATTTTCTTGTTTATTTCAGTTTTTACTTTTAAAGGAGGAACCATTAAGGAGAAGAGGAAAGTGTGGTTTTTCCCCACAGTTACTTCTACTACCCCACCATTCTTAGATCCAGTTTGGGCCAAGCAACAGCCAGCTGGGTTTGTTAAAACACGGACGTTTTACTCCCAAGATCAAGCACAGGGACAGGAAACACAGAGGTCCCAGTTCCCTAGACAGACATAATGAAATGACATATATTCTACTGAATGTGCAAATTCAGAAACTGTATTGGAGATTACAGATCTGCAAAAAGATATTGTATATGTATTGTACCATCTGCATGCACACCACCCCAGTGTGCAATATATGACTAGTGGCCAGTGACTGGGAAGATCAGAGCTGCCTGAAATATAGTGTTTAGCAACATAACATGGAGTATGCATTTAATTTGCTCTAACCCATTTTCTGCAAGCAAGCAAAATCCAAGGTTGAAGCTCTTAGCAAGAATATAATTAACCTTCCATGCCACCATTCTGGAAGGCTTGTCAGGCAGGGGAACCCACACTGAAAGCTGGCATGAATGCATTTAAAATGTTTATCATGCTACAGCCATGAGCTTCCTGACTGAGAACTACTACTCACCAGAACTGGAGGGGTGTTTGGTTCTTCATGGTATTGGCGGATTCTTTCCTCTCTTGTTTCCTGCAATAATGAGTATAGATTTAGTTTCCCAGGCCATAAGGTAGGACTTGGAGTTATCCAAGTAGCGTGACACCAAGCAATTTCATAACATTAAACAAAGCAGGCACTCTATCCCTCAAGCAGAATGGAGTGGTAGATTGATTCTAACAGATATGTATTTTACCCTTCATCTCTAGTGGCAATTTACTGCAGGCTGATCAAACAGAACTCACACAAGTTTTAAGGCGTTTCTGGTTTGAGATTATTTCCACTCAATTCATCCTTTTTGTTTGTTTCTTTGTTTGTTGGTTTTTTACTACTATCTCTGCGTACACTGAGGAAAGTGGTGGAAGCAAATGCCTGAGGTGCCATTTTCATGAAAGAGGGTAGTGAACCATGGATTTCCAGTGATATTAAATATTTGCTTGTCTTCAAGTAGGTATTACACTGAAGAATTTTCCTTCTACCATGTTTCCTGAGGTTTGCTGCTGAACTGAGCAACAGTAGTTAA